GCATGAAGAAACTTTCAGAAGGCAGCAAGCTGAGAGTTGGAACTAACAAAATGGGCATCTTTTGAAGAAGTAAAAAGTAGCCAAGACATTCACTGCAGGCACAGACAGGGTTGGGAGGATGAAAACATGTTTAAACAGGTTGTAGAGGCACTCTGCTGTTGCAGGTATTTAGTGTTTTTATGGAGAGAGAACAGTCTTTTTGCTTCCTAACAGATTAATTAATTAATCCTCATTCTAATGTCATTTTCTCACTGAGGCTTTCCTGACCACCTTCCTTGAACTCCCTTACTCCTTTCCTGCTGTATTTTTTCCCTATGGCACTTACAACCATATCTTGTAACATATTTTATATTTTAATTATTAATTTTGTTTATTGTCTATCTCTCTACTGAAATATAATTTCTGTCAACATAGGGAAATGTATCTGCTTTCTTCACTGTTATAGCCTTAGCACCTAATACGTAGTAGGCACCCAGACGTGTTTGTTGACTAGTCATTATTCAACATCTGTTGTTGTTGTTGGGTACCTTTTAGTCGATTCTGACTCATAGCAATCTCAGGTGACAGAGTAGAACTGTCCCATAGAGTTTCTTGGCTGTAATCTTTAAGGAAGCAGATCGCCAGGCCTTTCTCCTGCAGAGCTGCTGGGTGGGTTGAAACCACCAACATTTAGGTTAGTTGCCTAGAGCTTAGTCACTGTGCAGGCAGGGCTCCTTATTCAATATTTACTGCATACCAATTAAATTCGATGCTGTGTGCTTAGGGCGGCTCTGTTGCCCAATGGATAGTGCATTGGACTTCTAAATTCTTTGGTGTGTGCTGGATGTTGATCATTGGGCATATAGTGATATATAGCATCATCCAAAAAGCAAATGCCAAGAAGGGATTAGATGTACAAGATATTTATTGGGAAAATCCCTGCGTGAGATAAACGGGGAAGGAGCAGAAGCAGGCAGGGAGAGATTTCAGACTGCAATGCAGATCTGACACCTGTGAAAGGAGACAGAGAAGGAGGATAGGCTTGGAAAAGCCTCAGACCACAGTGAATATCTCAGGAATTCTTGGCCAGGCTGATAGGCAGTACCCCAAGCAATAGTTGTTCATTAGAGAAATGTTACGTTGGGCAGAAATGGCCCAGTAATGTAATACTGCCGTCTCTTTCATTGGCTGAGAGAAGCCTGGAGCAAGTGTAGCTTCAGCATGAACACTGCAGGGGATCCACAGTTGTGGCATCTGGGACTGTCAGTCAACCATGCTCCCTGAAGTAGGTTCTCTTGAAGGGAACTCTGAGTGGTGTACCTCCATGGCTGCCATACATTTGTATCATTATTTTATTTAATCTTCACACTAGTCTAATGGCTGCTGCTATCGTTATTCTGATTGTACAGCTGTGGAAACTGAAGGGCTTGGAATTCACTTAAATTGCTTGTGAGCACAGTGCTACTAAGTGTCAGAGCTTAGACCCAATTCGTCTTGAATAGGGCAAAATTCCTGCCCTGCAGGGGCTTCCCGGTTAGAAGAGAGACCTTTAAAAGTTAGCAAATGAGCAAGTGGCAGAACAGGCATTCTTCTCTGGGCAGTGTATATTTATGCCCTTGGGATCAATCCCTCTACTCTACCATCTCTGTAACAAGCCTCAGCCCCTGCCTTGCATGACATCTCAAGGGAGTGGAGAGACCTGCAAGTTCTCAGAGAGCAGTGGAACTTCTGCTCTAATGGAGGTTGGGGTCTGTGGTGTGGGAGTCTGCAAGGGCTGGGCCCTATCCCAGCCCATTTTGTGATGTATGGGGACATGACTCCAATGCTGTGTGTCCTTCAGAGGCCAAGGCTGTCCATGGCCACTACTGCTGCTAATGACCTGGCAGAGGGGAGCCCAATATGTCACTGACATTAGGGACACTTTCCCCTGTGATTCCTGTGGCTCAGCCCCTTTGGCCCCTGCACAGGATACATCTCAAGAGGAAGGCAGGAAATTGGGCAATTAGCCCTGCTGGCTCCTTCTCTAACCAGAAGTTTTCTCCTGGGTCTTAGTCCTACCAGTATGCGGGGATCTTCATGCCCATTATTCTGGTGCTTGTAAACAGACATGGAAGGTGCTAAAGATCCTTAGGCCACAGAAGCATAAGAACAAAGGCGAAGACTCCGGTAGCAGCTTGGAACACTAAGGACTGGCACAGAGCACAGCAAGGTTGGGAACCACCACTTGACTTAGATATGTGTGTCTAGAAAGTATGTGCACATGTGCTTGTGTGTTTGTCTTGCTTGTCTAACCAAGTATTTTTAGCGGATAATTGACTCACACACTGTTTCCTTCTTGGAAAGGTATAGATTTGCACTGTCTGATATAATAGTCACCAGTCATATGTGGCCATATACATTAGAATTAGTTAAAATAAAAAAAAAATTTGGTTCTTCAGTTTCACTAGTCACACTTTAAGTGCTCAGTAGTCACATAAGACTAGTGGCTGCCATATTGGACAGTGTGGATATGGAACATTTCCATTACTGCAGAGAGTCCTATGGAAAAGTGCTTGTATAGACCATACCCATATCCATTGCTGTTGAGTCGATTCCAACTCATACAGACCCTATAAGACAGAGTAGAACTGCCCCATAGTGTTTCCAAGGCTTTAAATCTTTAAGGAAGTAGACTGCCACAACTTTCTCCTGAGGAGCTGTTGGAGGTCCTAACTGCTGACCTTTTGCTTAGCAGTTGAGCTCTCCACCACTGAGCCACCAACTCTCCTTGTACAGACCGTTTCTAGAGGGCTATAAATCTCTTGCCAATGTGTGCATGTATTCTTGTGTGTTCTTGTATTCATGTGTGTGTGTTGCTTTTTAAATGTTACTTGTATCAGGACTTCGTTTTTCTTTATGGCTGAGTAATGTTCCACTGTATGTGTGTACCACATTTTGCTTATCCATTCATCTACTGATGGGCATTGTTTCCACCTTTGGGCTGCAACATGGATGAACCTTGAAAACATTATGCTGAGTGAAATAAGTTAGTCACAAAAGGACAAATATTGTATGATTGAACTTATATATGAAATTTCTAGAATAGATCAAAGTTTATTAATGGTTACCAGGGATGGGAGAGGAGAGGAAAAGAGAAGTCATTGCTTAGGGACCACTAAACTTCTGTTAAAGGTGACAGAAGAATTTGTGAATATATAGTGGTAATGGCTGTGTAACATGATGAATGTAATTAACCACAGAATTGTACATGTAAAAAAAGCTGAAATGGCAAATGTTCTGTTTTACATATACATATATGTATATATTTACCACGATCAAAAAATAATTTATTTGTGTGTTATGTTTGACTGCATTTGATTCTCAGTGTATGTAGTGAAGTGTGTGTGTATGGTTTGTGAGTTGTCTGGGTGACTGGGTGTGATGTTCGTGTTTTTTGAGTTGTGAATGACAGAGTGTTTTATTTAACATTTGTATGTAAATTGGTGTGAACTCCTCACAAGCCTCTATACTTTTCATCTAGGATAAACATATGTCATAGAGGGCTGAAAATCAGCACCTCGGTTTTGTTTATTTTTGTGACACTGTGTGTGACTCTATGTGTGTGTTTTTGTGTATGTCACATTCACATTGAATGGGTATAGAACAGAGGGAGCTGAAAGTGTGACATAGCAATACATGTGTGCATTTAGCCCAGTGAAACAGACTCGCAGCCTGACTCTTCTCTTGTCTCTGCTTTAGACAGAAACAGGCAGCTTGAGGCAGAGTCCTCTTTATACGAAGTCAGTGGCAATTTATCCATGTGATATGAAGGCTCCCGAAGTTCTCTGGGTCTTCATTGACCTTCAGCAATTCCCGTATTTCTACTTTTGAGAACATGGTGTAGTCAATTTTGGAACGTAGTCAGAACACTGTGAATTTTGATATAACATCCCAGTCCTATAGCATCTGCAAGATCTTGATACTCTGGGTGGATCACTGGGCAAATTCTCACATCATTCACTCCCGATGTATGCTCAGAACTCAGCCATTTTGAAGCAATGGAGATGGTTGGGGAGAGAGAGACAATGACAAATACAAGGAAGAATATTTATTGGCAAATTTATTAAAATGTAGGAAGGTCAAGGGCTGTGGTTGTATTATTTCACAGGGGATGGCATAGTGGTTAAGAGCTCAGCTGCTAACCAAAAGATTGGCTGTTCAAATCCACCAGCTGCTCCTTGGAAACACTATGGGGCAGTCCTACTGTCTCCTATGGGGTTGCTATGAGTTCGGAATACCTCAGTGGCAATGGGTTTGCATTTTGGTTTATAGTATAGGTCTTCAATGCTTCCCTGAAGTGGGAAGGACCACAGAGGTATATAGATTTCAGGGAGCCACTTGATTTTGATTGATGGCGTCCTCATGTATTTATTATCTTTAGCTCCTAAAATGTGATCTTGGTCACTTATTCTGCCAAAATAATTAGAGTTAATGCTTTTAACACTTACTTTGTGAAGGGCATTTTCTAAGCATATTACATGTATTAGTTCATTTAATCATTCCAATAATGATCTGGGTGTGTGTTTCTCTCTCCTCTCTCTCTCTCTGTGTATGAGTATGAGAGAGAGAAAGTAAGCATTTGGGATAATTTCACAAAACTAGTAAATTGTAAAGGCAAGAATCAGACATAAGCACACAGCAGTCTGGCTGAAGAACCATGCTCTAAATCAGGACTCTATGAGGTTGTTCACTAGAATGTGAGCTTCCAGAAGAAAGGACTCTGTCTTATTTGCTACTCTCTCCTTAGTGCCTATCATAATGTCTCTCAGATGTTTGGAAAAAATGAATGAATTGTTCCTGGTTTCCACTGAAGAATCAGTCTTCCTATGACCAGTCTGAATGAAGCACCAATATGTGAGTGAAATGCAAAGAGGTTTGTCTGAAGACTGACAGAGTCACTTGAAGAAAGTATGTGACCACACAGTAAGGCTATGCTCAGCATTTCTAAGTTCTTGACATTTCCCCTTTCACTCCATTCTCAGATACAGAAGAGCAGCATGAGGTGGGAGAACCAGAGCAGAGAGTCCGAATTCCTCCTCCTGGGGTTTCCCATTAGTCCTGAGAAGCAGGCCATGTTCTTCACCCTGTTGCTGGGCATGTATCTCACCACACTGCTGGGGAACCTGCTCATCATCCTGCTCATCAGGCTAGACTCTCGCCTCCACACCCCCATGTACTTCTTCCTCAGCCACTTGGCCCTCACTGATGTCTCCTTTTCATCTGTCACCGTCCCAAAGATGCTGATGAATATGCAGACTCAGCACCTATCCATCTCCTATACAGACTGTATTTCACAGATGTGTTTTTATATACTTTTTGGTTGTATTGATAACCTCCTTCTTGGAGTGATGGCATATGACAGGTATGTGGCCATCTGTCATCCTCTACATTATACCACCATCATGAGGAAGGAGCTGTGTGTCCTGCTGGTGGCTGCCTCCTGGATACTCTCCTGTGGCAGTGCCCTCTTGCACACTCTCCTCCTGGCCCAACTGTCCTTCTGTGCTGACAACACCATCCCCCACTTTTTCTGTAGTCTCCCCATCTTACTGAAGCTTTCCTGCTCAAACACTTCTCTCAATGAGCTGCTCTTATTCACTGCAGGGGCTGTGGTTGTCATCCTTCCATTAAGTGGCATCCTGCTCTCTTACGGATGCATTGGGGCCTCCATCTTGAAGGTGCCTTCTACCAAAGGTATCTACAAAGCTTTGTCCACCTGTGGCTCCCACCTCTCAGTAGTGTCCCTATTTTATGGAACAATTGTGGCACTGTACTTTTTCCCATCATCGAGCAACTCCAATGAGAAAGACATGATTGCCTCACTAATGTATACAGTAGTGACCCCCATGTTGAACCCCTTCATCTATAGCCTAAGGAACAGAGACATGAAATCAGCTCTGGGGATACTTTTCAGAAGTGATATCCCTTTCTCTAAATGAAAATCACCTGATGATGTTTTTGCTTCATCCACTGACCCTGTCAGAGATGCCTTTTAAAAAAAAATTGTGTGTTGACTCCCCTTGTCTCTAGTACCCTCCCAACTGTCTTTTAAATGGGAAGAAATGCTCTTGGACCTAATCCCTTTTGCTTAGTTATATACGTTGCCCATTTATTCTTCTATAACCATACATAACGTGGCCCTGGTGGTGCAGCGGCCAAAGGGTTGGCAGTTCATATCCTTGTAAACCCTATGGGGCACTTCTACTCTGTCCTACAGGGTCACTACGGTTCAAATCAACTCAACAACAATGGGTTTGGGTTTTATTTTAATCATATGTAGTGGTATCTAATCGTCATTTTAATTTACATTTTCCTGATGAATGATGACGTTGAGCATTCTTTTCATGTGCTTATTTGCAATCCATATATATTCTTTGGTGAAGTGTCTGTTTATATCTTTTGTCCATCATTAAATTTGATTGTTTTTGTATTTTTGAGTTTTGAAAAGATTTTAATATATACTGGATACAAGTTCTTTATCAGATGTATGATTTTAAAATATCTTTTCCCAGTCCATGGCTTGTCTCTTCCTTTTTTTAGTACTGTCTTTCAAAAAGTAGACATTTTTAATTTTGATGAAGTCTAATTTATTAATTTATTCCTTTATCGGTGAAGCTTTTGGTGCATCTAAAATCTTCACTTAATTCAAGGTCACAGATTTTCTCTTAAATTTTCTTTTAGAAATTGATAGTTTGGATGCTAATATTTTCCCCCTAAGTACTATTTTAGTGGCATTCCACAAATTTCGATATGTTGTGTTTCTATTTCATTCATTTTAAAATGGTTTATAATTCACTTTTTGATTACTTCTTTGATCCAAGAGTTATTTAGGAGTGTGTTATTTAGTTGTCAAATTTTCTGGGGTATTTTTCTAGTTATCTTTGTGTTATTGGTTTCTAGTTTATTTCTGTACATTGTATAATTTAAATTCTTTTAAATTGATTGATACTTATTTATGGTCTGAGAAAATGGTCTATCTTAGTAAATGTTCTATGTGCACTAAAAAATGTGTATTCTGCTGTTGGTGGTGGAATGTGCTATGAATGTCAGTTAGGCCAATTGATTGATAGTTGTCTTAGTTACCTAGTGCTGCTATGACAGAAATACCACAAGTGGATGGCTTTAACAAACAGAAATGTATTCTCTCACAGTCTAGGAGGCTAGAAGTCTGAATTCAGGTGGCGGCTCCAGGGGAAGGCTTTCTCCCTTTGTCAGCTCTGGGGGAAGGTCCTTGTCATCAATCTTCCTCTGATCTAGGAGCTTCTCAGTACAGAGACCTTGAGTCCAAAGGATGCTCTGTTCTCCTGGATCTTGTTTCCTGGTGGTATGAAGTCCCCCATCTCTCTGCTCACTTCTCTCCTTTGTATCTTGAAAGAGATTGACTCAAGACACAACCTAATCTTGTAGATTGAGTCCTGCCTCATTAACATAACTGCCACTAATCCCACCTCATTAACATCATAGAGGTAGAGTTTACAACACAAAGGAAAATCACCTCAGATGACAAAATAGTGAACAATCACACAATACAGGGAATCATGGCCTAGCCAGGTTGACACACATTTTTGGGGTACACAACTCAATCCATAACATTCCACCATTTGGCTCCCCAAAATTCACGTCCTTTCCACATGTAAAACATGTTCACCCCATTATATCATAGCAAAAGTCTTAAATCAACTCCAAGTCCAAAATCGAAAAATTCCTTTTCACCTGTGAAATCTAGAATACAAGTTGTCTGCTTCCAAAGTACAATGGTGAAACAGACATAAGCTAGACATTTCCACTACAGGTGGGAGAAATTGGAGGGAAATAGGCACCAAGAAAGTCAGCAGAATACATTAAATTAGCTGTCAAGGCTGGAAAATAATCCTCTGTTCTCTGAGACCATTTAGACAACAGCCCTGCCCACCAGACTCTGGGCATTGGCCACACTCTATAGATTCTGAGTGGAGGCCCTTCAGCCTTGGGTTTCAGCTCCACCTTCCAGGCCCACTGGAATGACAACTCTGCTCCCTCAGCTTTGGGTGGCCCCATTGTCCTTATCCATCTGAATGGTGACTCCACCCTTTAAGACCCCAGAGGTCATGGCCCTACCCCTTGAGACTGAGGCAGCTCTGCTTCTTGTGTTCCTTATCTCTTCAGCTTCACCTTCCTGGTTCCTTGGCCTCTTGGCCCTTTGGGGTTCACTGCTCGTATCGGCCCTGCTGGGGCAAATGTTCCAAAGCTCTCTAGCTCCACTGATAAGTGCCTGGAGGCACCCTACTCCAAGAGTAAACTTCAGCCAGAAGGCACTCAGCTGTCTTGCTCCGTGGTTCAGCAAGCTTAGCTCCACTGGTAAGTGCTCGGGGGGCACCCCACTCTGCCAGAAAGTCTCCTGCGCAGACACTCAGCTCTCTGGCTTCGTAGGTTGGCTCCAGTGCTGTCTCGCACTGGTCTCCAGGTTCTGCTGCTGCCGTTTTCTGTGGCTGCTTCTCTCCGTCTGCACCATCTCCAGTTTAATAGCTCTCCTCATTTCCTTTTGAATCCTCACCAGAATTGTCTTTGATGTCCCTAATTTCACCAACAGCCTCTTCAAGGCAATCTTGACTTTTACTCTTAGGCACTTTAAAACTCTTTCAGCCTCTATCCATTCACAGTTTCAAAACAGCTTCCACATTTTAGGTATCTGTCAGAGCAGAGCCCCAATCTTTCCATAACAAATTCTGTCTCAGTTATCTAGTGCTGCTATAACAGAAATACCACAAGTGGATGGCTTTAACAAACAGAAATGTTTTCTCTCACAGTCTAGGAGGCTAGAAGTCCAAATTCAAGGTGCTAGCTCCAGGGGAAGGCTTTCTCTCCCTGTTGGCTCTGGGGGAAGGTCTTTGTCATCAATCTTCCCCTGGTCTAGGAGCTTCTCAGCACAGGGACCCTGGGCTCAAAGGACATGCTCTTTTCCTGGCTCTTGTTTCCTTGTGGTAGGAGGTCCTCTAGTCTCTCTGCTCAATTATGTCTTTTATATCTCAAAGAAATTGACTCAAGACACAACCTAATCTTATAGACTGAGTCCTGCCTCACTAACATAGCTGCCTCTAATCCTGCCTCATTAACATTATAGAGGTAGAATTTACAACACATAGGAAAATCACATCAGATGACAAAATAGTGGACAATCATACAACACTGGGAATCACGGCCTAGCCAAGTTGACATACGTTTCTGGGGGACACAATTCAATCCATAATTATAGTGTTGTTGACATCCTCTATATCCTTGTTAATGTTCTTTCTACTTGTTCTACCAATTATTAAGAGGTAGATATTGAAGTTTTTACCTGATTGTGAATTTGTCTATTTCTCCTTCAGACTATATCAGTTTTGCTTCATGTATTTTGATGTTCTGTTATTAAGTGCATATATGCTTAGGAGTGTTTTAATATGTTGATGAATTTACCTCTTTGTCATTATGAAATGATCTCCTTTGTCTCTGGTAATATTCTTTTCCCTGAATTCTACTTTGTCTGATATTAATATGGCCACTCCAGCTTTCTTTTGATTTGGGTTAGTATAGTTTATCCTTTTCCATCCCTTTACTGTTTTTTAAACTTTTTATTTCATCTTTTTACTTTTAATCTATTTATGTCTTTACATCCAAAGTTTATTTCACGTAGGAAGAATATTGTTGAGTCTTGTTTTATTATCCAGTGTGAAAATCTCTGCCTTTTAATTGGGAGTATTTAGCCATTTACATTTAATGTAATTATTGGTAGAGTTAGGTTTAATCTCTCATAGTGTTTGTTTTCTCTTTGTTTTATCTGTTCTTTGTTCCCTTTTTCCTCTTATCTAGCCTATCTGTTTTATATCCTATAAATTCCCTGTGCTTTTTTATTATTTTTTTTACAATTTTCCTTAAATCTGTTGTAGCCAAATAATAGCTCTTTTAAAAGAAGTAATTAAAATTCCAACTAAAAGATCTTGCAACACCAAATATTTTCTTGTTAGAAAAGTGGGAAAGTCCTGAGAGCAAGAAATAATTTATATTGACTTCTGAAGGGTGGCTCGAGAAGACAAAGTAAAGTATTATAATGAAATGTGAAAAGATCCAGAGTTATAAAAGCAAAAGGGAAGGACATGCTCAGCATTTCTCAAGCTGAAAGAACTGAAAAAAAAAAAAAAAAAATCCAAGCCTCAAATTGGAATTTTGAAGGATTCTGTGAGCAAAATATTGAATGATGCAGGAAACATCAAAAGAAGATGGAAGGAATACACAGTCACTGTAGCAGAAAGAATTGGTTGATGTTCAACCATTTCAGGAGGTAACATATGATCAAGGACCGACGGTACTGAAAGAAGTCCAAGCTTCACTGAAGGCACTGGTGAAAAACAAGTCTCCAGGAATTGATGTCATACAATTGAGATGTTTAAACAAACAGATGCAGTGCTGGAGGTGCTCACTCATCTATGTCAAGAAATTTGGAAGATAACTACCTGGCCAACTGACTGGAAGAGATCTATAATTGTGCCCATTCCAAAGAAAGATGATCCAACAGAACACAGAAATTATCAAACAATATCATTAATATCACATGCAAGTAAAATTTTGCTGAAGATCATTCAAAAATGGTTACAGCAGTATATCCATATTGAACTGCCAGAAATTCAAGCTGGATGCAGAAGAGGATGTGGAACGAGGGATATCACTGCTGATGTCAGATGGATCTTGGCTGAAAGCAGAGAATACCAGAAAAATGTTTACCTGTCTCTTATTGATGATGGTAAAGTATTCAACTGTGTGGATCATAACAAATTATGGATAGCATTGAGAAGAATGGGAGTTCCAGAACAACTTAATTGTGCTCATGAGGAACCTGTATGTAGACCCAGAGGCAGTTGTTTGAACAGAACAAGGGGTTACTGTGTGGTTTCAAATCAGGAAAAGTATGTGTCAGGGTTGTATCCTTTCACCATATGTATTCAATTTGTATGCTGAGCAAATAATCTGAGAAGCTGGACTACATGAATAAGAATGTAGCATCAGGATTGGAGAAAGACTCATTAACAAC